CCCAGCTTGCCCCAAGTTGGTCCTCAGTGCCCCACACATCTGACACTTTGCTTGACACTACTGCCTCGTCCATGCCTTGTGACACCACCGCTTTGCCCTTCTGGCCAGCCTCGTGTGTGGAACAGGTGGCATTTCATGGAAAGCCACTGTGGCCTTGGGCTTTTGCCTTCTCCCTTGTGACCAGAATGTGGCTTCCCAGGCCTCTCAGCTGCATTTGCCAACATTAGTGGTACCAAAATGGACCTTGACCACTGACTGCATCTCAGTGCTGCCTACAAAGCTATCCAGCCAGCACGGGAAGACAAATTACACTGCACTCAACACGCCCATCACGGCGCATCAGCAGTCTGCTGATCAGATCTTCCACTCCCACAAGCCTTGGGTTGTCCATGGGACCAATTGGCTGGAGAGGCAGGGCTGCCTATAGGGAGGATTCCCCTGTGCTGCCCGTCGTTCATGAATGGAATTAGCTGTGCAGGGTGAGGCCGGCACCTCGGGTGGCAGATGCTGCCTGGCGTGAGGGGCAGCAACAGGTCCCTCAGCATCCCCCCGCAACCTGCTCCGCACCCCTCAGCCAGTCTGCAGGTGTGACGGAGGATGTTGTGCCAAGAGGAATCACTTGCCAGCCCATTTGGCTTCCGGAGGTGGCAGAAGCAGGCGCCATCTTCTCCTCGCCATCAGTTGGGTCCGCCCTGGGATGTGGCGTTGAGCACTGGTTTAGATACCTTTGAAATGAGGTTGGGCCATTCGTGGAGAGGCTGGTTTATGAAAGGCGATGCATCCCCCTCCCAGTTCAGAGGGAGGGTGCCACTGGCTCTGAAACATTCACTGCTGAGGAGCAATTGCAGGCGAGGGTTCTTGCCCTCATGCCCTGCTGGTGACCATCCCAGAGGCCTCTGAGTGGCCACGGCAGAAAACATGATGGCTGACTCTATGGGCCACCGTTCTCATCCTGCAGAGCAATCCTTGTGTTCCCCCGACTTTCCCCCCACCACAAATACTGCCACATTTTCAGAACATTACTACCTGCACTGCACAATGGTTGACATTCTGAGGGCCCGAGTGGCATCCCCCCAAACTTGGTGGCCCTCCAGATGTGCTGGAATGCAAATGACTGCCTTGGTGGGAGGTGGTGGGAGTTGTAGTCCAGCACGGCTGGAGGGGCACCAGCTTGGGGAAGGAAGCCCCAGCTGGCTCGGCAATTCATTACAGATCCTCTTTACTCTGACTCCCTACGTCTAACTACCCCACTCCTTTCTTCCTGATTTCCTGCCTTTCTTCCCTGTCTGCCCTCTCCTCTTTTTGCAGCACCCCATTGTCTTAAGTAAAGAACTCGGCAAGCATTTATATAAACAAGGTAACATTTATTTGACCTTTTGCATTACATGGTTCACTGTGCAAAGATAATATTTGTTCAGCAGCTAAGGAACCGACATGTCTCATTCCAAGCTCGAGGAAGCCAACAGTCTTGCGAAATGCGGGTTGAGTTGCTCGATACCACCTGGATTAACTCCTGGGCACCGACTGCCAGTGATGCAAGAGGCGAGGCAAGGGAAAGCAGCAATGGCATGATATCCCTTGGAAAGGAAGCACGAAGGAAGAGATGAGGCGTAAACTGGGTTGACTCTGTGCCTGTTGCCCTAGATATTCTTCTTGCTAAGGTCAGACAAGTAGGTAAAGCAGTTGTCCTCACCCGAGGGGCTTTCAGCTGGCGGGGCTCCTTCCAGACTCCCCCCGACCCCCGCCCCAGCTTGCTGTAGTCCCACCCGTAGGATATCGCTGTCATGCTCTATTGCCGTTTCCTCCTCATTCCCTCTTCCCTCCTTTGACCTGTTCCCTCCCGATCCTTTGGCCGAGCAAGGGAGTTGCCCCATTTCATCGCAATGAATGACCTGGTGAGGCCGAAGAAGGACAGAGGAAGGGCCTCATGGTGTGAGCTTCATGCCCGTGCAGGAATCTGAACCCAGGTCTCCCCACACTCCAGCCGCCACACTGGTGGCTTTCTGGGCAAGCCTGAGAACACCTTCAGGCAGTCTTTCTCCATGGGAAGGTTGGTCTCTGTAGCTGCGCTGTTGTGAAAGACAATTCGCTCATTGTTTTGATCTTCCCTTTTACTGGGATGCTTGATGGGGGGCTCCAACAGGGCTGAACAGCCCCCAGATGAATTAAGTGGGCACCCTAGCACACCCCCCTCCAAAGAAATCCATTGGCATACAATTTGATGTAAAAAAAGTCCCCGGCACATGGGTGGTATCCATCCCCCACTGGAGTAGGGCAGCTAAGCCAGGCCTTTTTCTCCCTGCCTTCTGGAATATTGTGACCTTATGTGATCACCTTTGCCCATCTTCAGTGGGAGTCTGCTGCGGGTTGGACCCTCTTCACTCGCTCCTGCCTGCCCATTGCTGTGCCTCTGAACCCGGTCTGGTCCGGCCGCTGCTTTGGAACTGCTCCTTCCCAACTGGCACCTCCCCAGTCCTGATCCTGCTCTGGCCCTTTGTGCTTTCTTTTCCATCCACGAGCACTTCTGCTCCAGGTTCCTCCTGCTGCACAGTTTTGCAGAATGTTCTGCATTCTTGCTTGTTATTTCCAGCTCTGCCCAGAGAAGTCCCAGACTTCCTTGGAAGCAACACCCTCCTCATTCAGTGCCCCCGTTGTGTTGGGCTGCCAGTAAGCCCACTCAATGCAGAAAGGGGTGCAGACAGTGTGGGCAAAAGACACCCTGTTGACTTCCCAGTGAGAGGAACTCCGTCTCCTTATTGTCCATCAAGGCACTGGGATGCTTTCCCATCCTCTGGGTTTGGGACAGAACCACTTGCAGGATGCCAGAAGACGAGGGCTGCCAACTCTTCCACCCAGCCCTGTTCTTAAGAGCAGCCCAACCTGCAAAATTGTTTAAGGGAAGGCTTCCACTGCCGTGAAGATTTCATGGTGCAAAAACTTCCAGCTATCTGATTTCTACGCATGAGGATTAGCGCAGTGTGCAAACCGTCCCTTCATTTTGTGGTGTGAAGCAGAGGACTATTTTCCTGCTGGAGGAGAGGTTCTCTGACTTGTTTTGGCGGGCAAGGCCCATTTCAGTGGGAGCACGTTTTTCTTTGAACTGACACTGTAATAGTCTTTGATTTCTGACCATTCCAAGTAGATGGACCTATTGAATCAGATACTTTTTTTTTTTTTTTTGCATTCAGCAGCCTCCACAGTGGAGGCCCAGAGAGAACTGAACCAAGTTTAAATAAGCGACACAGTTTCTTTGTTGTATTCATAACTCACCATCCAAGTAGTTTGGTAAATGAAAGTATGGTACTATTGAAATTATGGTGGCTGGTCTGAGCCCTAGGACGTCCATCCTAAGACAAGAGCCTGGTCTGGGGAGCTGCTACAGCCAAACTGTTCAATCCCAGTCTTGGCATGGAAAGGTCCCACTGGCATTCCCAGTTAGAAGTCCTTTGGTGACAGAGCTGGGAAATATCCCTGCCAGGGGTCTTGGTGTGTGTCTGGCAGAGGAGGTGGCACTGGGCTGAAGAGGCCGACTCAGATGGCAGTTCATTGGCCTGCCTGGTGCCTGCCCGACAGGAGGTTGTGTGACGTGGCCATGGCCAGGAGCTCTGGTGGCCCCAACTTGGGACCGAGCACCCAAAGGACTTTCCATGCTCAGCCCTTCTTCTCCTCTTTTGGAGAAGGATGCTTTCCCCACTGGGCATTTGCCTCTTGCATGCCCAAACCCACTGATGCGGATCTGGAAACCCCAGTCAAGACCCCTCTCTGGGAAAGGGACTGTGGCCCCAAGAGCTGCTGGCAATCCAAGTCGTGCGTTGGATCCCGTGGTGCAGCAGAGCCAGGGCCTGAAGCTGGACATGCAGGGACTGTTTTTGCTAGCAGAGACACAGGTCTCATTGGCCACCCCAGTAGAATCTCCCCTTCTTCCTGAATTTGGCTGCAGAGTTTGCCGTCCTCAACTTGCCTCTTCCAGGGGATGGATTTTCCCTGTCACAAGGCCCAGTGTCCTGGGACGGCTAGGTCTGGAATGGCCAATTCATGCCGCTCCTGCATTCTTGGATCCTCCCTGCAGCTGCTTTTTGAGGATTATTTGATCACACCCGGCACTAGAGTCAGGACAAGCTCTCAGGCCCGGAGGGAGGGGTGGTGGTCTAGAGGCCGGCTGGTGGGTTCTGGGTGCTGGAGGGCATCAATGAGCACAGCAACTCTGACTACAGATTTCCCAAGCCAGACACACGCCTGACGGTTTGGATGGGAAAAACGGCCTGGCCAAATATAATAATATTTCCGTATTATTAACACTTTGGGGTATTCACAAAATGCCATGTCACGTGACCCGAGTAATCCTGGTTTGACCCTGAAGTCCTATCTGTAAGGTAGTTGGTGTTATTTGTTCTCATATTGCAGTGGGGAGGGAGGGGGAATTTTGGTATAGATGAGATTTTTAAACAAGGCACTCCGAGCTCAAGGGGCAATCACACTGAGGCTGCAGTTTGTTAGGGAAGACAATGTAGTTGTTGTCCTTGGAGAGAATTTTGGCCCGCATGAAGAGGCAGAAGATCAAGGCCAAGGAGGGCATGCTAATTGAATCCTCCTAATTAACCAACCTCCCCTCCAGGTTTAGTGATGGTGCAATGCTGTGTAAGTGGTTTAGAAAGCTGGAAGCAGCGAGAGTCACTGGCCACCGACGTGGAACTCCCAGAGACCATGGCATACATTGCACAGTTGTAGAGCTGACAGGTAACTCTTAGCTGACTACATAAATTATCCACCTCTTCCAAGATAGTGCATTATTTTTTTTTAGAAAAGGAAAGCATACATTTAAGGTTTGCAATGTCTTCCAGAGGTGCACAAACTGACCTCTTGTGCTAGAACATCCAAGCTGCACATGTTTGGTGTAGTCAGGACATGCAAAAGAGCCGCGAGGGCCACAGCCAGGCCTTGTGGACCATTCCGTTGGCCACACAATGGAAGGCCTCCCTTTCAAGTTATTCATTCCCACCCCACATTTCAAAAAGCCACATGTCCCCCATGAAATCTTCCAAACAGCAGTTGGCCATTTGGATTTGCTCCTCCAACGCCCCACCTCAGATTAAGGTCAGGTTGGGTGCGGAGGCTCTGAGGGCCTCCAAGGGGGCGCCCTTTAATTTCCCATCATGGGAGTGCTCCATCTTTGAGTTGCAGTGGCAAGTAGAGGCCTTGCTGTAAGTGAGCGACTTCTTGTTCTTGCCCAGCTTCCTCATCGAGCGGACCACCCGCTTGAAGATGAGGTAGAAGATCTCACACACGGTGAGGACGATGCAGAGGGCAGATGCACCCACCATGAAGTAGGTGAAAATCTTCTTCTCCGTGGGCCGAGCGATGTAACAGTCTACCGTATTGGGGCATGGTTGCAGGTCACACTTGACCAAGACAGGGAGGTCAAAGCTGTCCCATATCCTATGCAGGAGGTAGAGGAAGGTGATCTCAATGGTCAGCTTGAAAAAGAGGGTGAGGAGGTATGTCCACCAAAGGCCACCGTGCTTCTTGCCAGTGTTACTGTAGAGTTTGGGGCAGTCCTCTCCATTCTTTTCCCGGTTCTTCCTCTCCCTGTCCTCTCGGTAGGCCACGTGCATGATGACTAGAAGCGAAGGGCAGGTGACAAAAATAAGCTGCAGGGCCCACAGGCGGATGTGGGAGATGGGGAAGAAATGGTCATAGCAAACATTGGTGCAACCAGGCTGCCTGTGGTTGCAGTCAAAGTCCTTCTGCTCGTCTCCCCACACCCGTTCAGCCGCTACCACATAGACCAGGACCCGGAAGACAAAGACAACGGAGAGCCAGATGCGCCCGAACGCGGTGGAGTATTTATTCACCCCACTCAGCAGGCCCTGTAAAGTCTTCCAGTCCATGCTGACTGATGGAGGCCCTGCTCACCAGAACCTGGAGAGGGAGAGGGAGAGGGAGAGGAGAGAAGAAATAGCAAGTTAGAGTCTTTCCTGGAGAAGGAAATGGCAACCCACTCCAGTATTTTTGCCATGAAAACCCCATGGACAGTACCAAAAGGCAAAAAGATATGATGCCGGAAGATGAGCCCCGCAGGTCGGAAGGTGTCCAATATGCTACTGGGGAAGAGTGGAGGGCTAGTACTAGTAGCGGCAGAAAGAATGAAGCGACTGGGTCAAAGTCGAAAGGTCACTCAGTTCCGAATGTATCTGGTGGTGAAAGGAAAGTCCGATGCTGTAAAGATCTATACTCCATAGGAACCTGGAATGTAAGATCCATGAATCAAGGCAAGCTGGATGTGGTCAAACAAGGGATGACAAGACTGAACATCGACATCTTAGTAATCAGTGAGCTAAAATGGACAGGATTGGGTGAATTTAATTCAGATGACCATCAGGTATACTACTGTGGGCAAGAATCCCCCAGAAGAAATGGAGTAGCCTTCATAGTCAATAAAAGAGTAGGAAAAGCAGTACTGGGATTCATTCTCCAAAATGACAGAATGATCTCAGTTCGAATCCAAGGCAAACCATTCAATAGTCCAAGTCTATGCCCCAACCACTGGCGCTGAAGAGGCTGAAGTTGACCAGTTCTATGAAGGCCTACAACACCTTCTAAAATTAACACCAAAAAATGATGTCCTTATCATCATGGGGGATTGGAATGCTAAAGTAGGAAGCTAAAAGATAACTGGGATAATAGGCAAGTTTGGCCTTGGAATACAAAATGAAGCAGGGCACAGGCTGGTATAATTTTGTCAAGAGAATACGATGGTCATAGCAAACACTCTTTTCCAACAACAAAAGAGACAACTCTACACATGGACATCACCAGACGGTCAACACAGAAATCAGATTGACTATGTGCTCTGCAGCCAAAGATGGAGAAGCTCTATACAGTCAGTAAAAACTAGACCAGGAGCTGACTGTGGCTCAGATCATGAGCTTCTTGTTGCAAAATTTAGGCTTAAATTGAAGAAAGTAGAAGAAAGCACTAGGCTACTCAGGTATGACCTAAATCATATCCCTGATGAATATACAGTAGAGGTGACAAATAGATTTAAGGAATTAGATCTGATAGACAGAGTGCCTGAAGAACTATGGACGGAGGTTCGCAACATTGTACAAGAGGTAGCAACTAAAGCCATCCCAAAGAAAAGAAATGCAAGAAAGCAAAACGGCTGTCTGAGGAAGCTTTACAAATAGCTGAGGAAAGAAGGGAAGCAAAAGGCAAGGGAGAAAGAGAAAGATACAAACAATTGAATGCAGAATTCCAGAGAACAGCTAGAAGAGCTAAGATGCCTTCTTAAATGAACGGTGCAAAGAAATAGAAGAAAACAATAGAATAGGGAGGATCAGAGATCTCTTCAAGAAAACTGGAACTATGAAGGGAATGTTCCATGCAAAGATGGACATGATAAAGGACCAAAATGGCAGGGACCTGACAGAAAGAAGCAGAAGAGATTAAGAAGAGGTGGCAAGATTACACAGAAGAACTATACAAGAAAGAGCTTAACGTCCCTGATAACCACGATGGGGTGGTCACTGACCTCGAGCCAGACATCCTGGAATGTGAAGTCAAATGGGCCTTAGGCAGTTTGAGCAACAACAGAGCTAGTGGAGGTGACAGTATTCCAGCTGAGCTAGTCAAAATCTTAAAAGACGATGCAGTAAAAGTGCTACACTCAATATGCCAGCAAATTTGGAAACCTCAACAGTGGCCACAGGATTGGAAAAGGTCAGTTTACATTCCAATTCCAAAGAAGGGCAATGCCAAAGAATGTTCACACTACCGCACCATTGCACTCATTTCATGTGCTAGCAAAGTTATGCTCAAAATCCTACAAGCTAGGCTCCAGCAGTATGTGGACCGAGAATTACCAGGAGTACAGGCAGGATTTTGAAGAGGGAGAGGAACTAGAGATCAAATTGCCAATATACGCGGGATCATGGAGAAAGCTAGGGAGTTCCAGAAAAACATCTACTTCTGCTTCATTGACTATGCTAAAGCCTTTGATTGTGTGGATCACAACAAATTGTGGCAAGTTCTTAAAGAGATGGGAGTACCAGACCATCTTATTTGTCTCTTGAGAAACCTGTATGTGGGTCAAGAAGCAACAGTGAGAACTGGACACGGAACCACTGATTGGTTCAAAATTGAGAAAGGAGTTCAGCAAGGCTGTATACTGTCACCCTGCCTATTTAACTTATATGCAGAGCACATCATGAGAAAGGTGGGGCTAGATGAATCACCAGCTGGAATTAAGATTGCTGGGAGAAATATCAACAACCTCAGTTATGCAGATGATACCACTCTCATGGCAGAAAGTGAAGAACTAAAGATCCTCTTGATGTGAGTGAAGAAAGATAGTATAAAAGTTCGCTTGAAACTCAACATTAAGAAAACTAAGATCATGGCATCCGGTCCTCTCACTTCCTGGCAAATAGATGGGGAAGAAATGGAGGTAGTGACAGATTTTATTTTTGTGGGCTCCAAGATCAGTGCAGATGGGGCCTGCAGCCATGAAATTAAAAGACGGTTGCTCCTGGGGAGGAAAGCTATGGCAAATCTAGACAGCATACTAAAAAGCAGAGACATCACCCTGCCAACAAAAGTGCGTATCGTCAAGGCTATGGTTTTCCTAGTTGCAATGTATGGCTGTGAAAGCTGGACCATAAGGAAGGCTGAGCGCCGAAGGATTGAGGCCCTTGAATTGTGGTGCTGGAGGAGACTCCTGCGAGTCCCTTGGACTGCAAGGCAATCAAACTGGTCAGTCCTAGAGGAGATCAACCCTGACTGCTCTTTAGAAGGCCAGATGCTGAAGAT